ACATTACTAACGCCCCACCGGCTGAAAGGGCGAGCATGTTTGGTGGTATGCGGATTCGAACCCGCGACCCTCAGATTGTGAGTCGAGCGCCTTATCCACCTGGCCATGCCAGGCCGCAAGTTTTATATAATGAATTATTTTCTTTTTGTTTAAAAGAATTTACTTTGTGTATTTGTATGCATGCTTTCTTAGAATACCACCCATTTAAAGGACCATGAATTGGACATTATATATTTCTTTTATATATATATTTATTTATATAAATAGATATTTATATATATTTCTGGACATTACATGTTATTTTCCCTTCAAAAAACTTGGTTAATTGCCAGTTAGTGAGCTCTCATCTTGTATGCACCAAAACAAGGAGAGATGGAGTGTGTACTTGAGCAACCCTAATGTTAATAAACATTACTATCATTGTGCACCTTTTAGATTCGGCACTTTCTTCTCAACGATCTCAGTTAGAGAAAAAAAGCACACTGTCACACACTTAATAATTCAATATTCTTCAAACCTACAGTCACTGAGTGTTAATTGTCTAATCTGTATGAAAGTTTTGTAATGGGGAATACCATGTCTTCAAGTAGTTTTGATTTATAAACATTTTTCATTTTTATCATCAAACTATTTCCCAACTTTGTGGATATTACTAAATGTTTTATTTAAATATTATTTCTGAAAATGGTAGACATTATGCACGAATTTTCTGTTAACGAATATTTAGTTAAGTACTATAATGATATTTTCTTGTTGGCTGCACGAATATACCTCTGGATTTACTTCTCAAATAAAATATATTTATATTATATTTAATCTGTGCCTTCAGACGAATTGAAATTGTGAAAAGACGTGTTACAAAACTGTTTGGGTTAGAAGCTTTAGTAACTATTTGTGGAGTAGTTATTTGCGATTTTACCACATTCCTCATTGAAACTGTTGCACTGCATTTTAGGTAATCAGAGAGTGAAGAATGAACTCACGCATATTTCAAAACTGTACTTACTCACTGGTAAGCTCATTTCCAGAAACTGGTGTAGTTAGAGTGTGACTGACATAGCTGTTTATGCACTGTTTCACAGAAGCTATGGGGATTGAGCATTCACTTGTGCTTGTGACAAATGCATCATTAAAATATATGGATTAGAACATTTACCATTAATACTGTAAAATCTTATCTAGATTACCTTTCTCAGAAAAGTTTGTGTCTTTATCTACCTGCTCATGTCTTTAATTTTACATTGCTAATCACAGGTTCAGTTAATTTCGAGTTTTGAATCCTTACTTTTGCTATTTAAGGCGATGATTTTTGACCAGTGGATGTCTTATTGTGAAATTGATGGACCAGCTTTATTAGACTACCATAATACTGTTATGGGTGCACATTCTAATTGATCCACCTTTGATTCTGGAAGTTTCAATGCTGGTGACAGAGGTGTGCAGATTGAGGAAATATTTGTTGTTTTGAACTAGTAAGTACAGTCACCATGGCCAAAGTGAGGCCTCTGTCAAATAAAGGACAACAGGTTGCCTCCACTAGGGAGAGAGTCCCAACAACATTCCAAGAACGTACTGATCCAAGGAATCACAAGCTGCTACCTCGAGGTTGTGTTCTAAATGCTACATTGATGGCTGTGGAGTAAAGACAATACAGAAGGAGGAGAAGGTTACCCACATCCAAAAAATTTACCAAATCCCATATACATAGAAAGTGTTTCCATAATTAGAAAAAAGAACAAGATGCTTTGAAGCTGAAAGGATACAAAGGAGACCATGCTACCCAAAATATTGGAACAGTGGAAGAATGTCACTACCACCTCTAGAAAAATCAGATTGTCAGTCACAGTTGTGCCAACCTGAACCTTTGATTATGACCATTGATGCCAACAGTGTCACCCACACAACTAATTGGAAAGAAGCTTAGGTCCTGGTGCAGTGGAAGAAGACTGGAAGAGGGACCAAACAGACACTGAAGCTCAATATCTAGCCAGCAAAAAGTGATGACTCTGATAGGAGAATTTATGATTACAGATAAGCTTGCAGAGATGTTTTAGTCCATAAGTAACTGGCTAGCATTTTATTTTGTATTTCCAAGTTGTATCTTTTTCTTATTTTAATTTAAAATTTTGCTTAATTTGCTTGTTTGTAATTTGATATTATGCTTTAGCTTTTTTAAAATTTATTTTATGATTTAATTTGATTCTTTAATTAGCTTGATTTTGTTTCCAGTCTTGTTTATTTTGCTACATCATTTTATTTTTTATAAACCTTATGTACTACTACTAAATTTATTGGTTTGAATCTAGATTTTATTTTGAATTTAGATTTGTTTGGTTTGATTTTCTGTTCTGATTACGGTTTTATTTTAAAAGACTGTTGGTGCTTTTGTGCATTGAATAAAATTATCATATGTTGTGTTTGTGTAAATGCATGACCTTTTACATATAATGTAAGGAGGTGATTACAGTTATGACCTTGGTAATGAGCTTCTAATTTTAATTTTAATGTATTGTTACGCCTCTGGTCGTTAGCTAATTTTCCGTAACTTCGTTCCGACGAAACTTTAGCGACACAAGTCCTTTCTTAAATAAAACTGGTTTATTCTTTCCGAATATAACTTTACGATACACTTAATATCAATATTCGCGCTACGAACGTTAACTTCAAGAATACCCTGTGACTGCAGTTCAATTACTCACTATCTACACACACATTGTTGTCACGTTGTGAGCGTCCTATTTATATACCAGAGAAACATATATCTAGTAAATGCTAGGGCATTCACGAAGGAACAAGATACTTCCAGAAAATAGGCAGCGTGACAATGGTCACGTGACCCCCTGACGCAACACTGCCCCTCCTTAGTATATATGCAATAATAACCACATACAATAAACCAATAACAATAACTTAATTAAATGTACAGAATTACAAACACAAAATTACAATTCAACAAAGTCTCTTAATTTTACGAGACGTATCTTCTTCCGTACTGGTCTCCGTCTCGTTGGCTTTTGCTTCATGTGGGGTTCGTCTGTTTCATCAGTAAATGTCCTATCATCGGTAACAGTCACATCAGTGGTATTAACTTCATCAAGAGCTTCATCATTTCCCTTCTCAAAACTGAGTAGTATTTCTTCTTCGACTGTGGCTTCTTCAGGTGTC